ATGCTGGGAATAAACTTAGGCCTACAGTTAACTTATAAATTACAGAAATTCTTTCATAATAAACTAAAAAAATGTTTTCTGTTTTGTTCTAAGAATAACTTGCTCACTTGCTTAAGAATAACATTAGGTTAAGTTATCCTTTTCGCAGAGGATACGCAACCGGGACCGTGGACGTAGATTATGCGTCCGGCAGTTAAGTGCCTACAGTCATAACCTAACCTAACCAACCAAACTTGCTGATAATGAACAAATCAAATGAAGGTTAAGTTCTGTTCATAAAATAAAAATAAATGCCAAAAATTCTAACCAAAGATGTACAGTTAAGAAGAAATGGGATTCTAAAAATCTTTGACAAAAAGTTAGTAACTTCTAGGGCCTATCACCGATGTGATTCGATCTAGATACATCATGTACATCAGCCATGTACTTTATCTACACACCACGAACACCAATGGCTAAATATCGTATCGTTGTGGAAATGGTGTTCCGGTCCCCCACAACCCGGTGACGTCAATGCCGGGTGCCTAAGTAATCCACATTCGGTAACCAGACGCGTATCCTCTAATCTGCGTTTTTTTTTTTTTTTTTTTTTATAAAGCAATAGGCCTTATTTACTTATGAAAGTTATAACCAAACAAATTGAAAAAAAAAACCAAAGTGAACTTAACCAATTTCAAATAATAATAGGCCTAAGTTAATACTATCTATAACCCTCTAAGATTTAGCCAATACATAGTGTAGGCTAATTGAGTTAAAACTTTGATATTCAAATTCATCGCCTCATATTACTATATTGGTGTTTACAAACAAGTCAATCTATTGATTACCGGTACCTAAGTTATTTCACCTTCAATTAGTTACGGTAATCATATAGCAATAATGGTACATTCATTGAGTAGACCTAGGCCTATTTAATGTAAAACAAAAGTAAGAATGTAATGCATAATACGCTATGGTTGACGCGCCGAGACCCTGAGTCCTTATCTAACCCAACCCAACCACAATGCAATAATATCATTGTTTTAAATTATTCAAAAGTTTCATTAGTCGTAGAATCAAATCCAATCAACAAATTATAAATATGAACGACTAAGATTGATTAGTAAGAACAAAGTAGGCCTAACTTACTTATAGACTAAATTTTGTGTAGGCTACTTCAATGTGTATCGGCAATCAAACTGTCGATGTGTTCACATTTTGTGTTTTTCATACTAACCGATTAAACTGTCAGCACATGCAGGAGCCCGGAACATTTACATTCGAAGATAATGTGTGTTTTTAATAACTTAGCTGATTTGTTGTCACGTCAATTTATTACACGTTCTTATTAGAATATTTTGAAATAATGCCTTAGGCCTATGCAAATATTTAAATAAAATGAATAATGTTAAACTCTACTCTTTGACAAGCAGTCCTGATCATTCAAGACCCCAGCATGATTAATATTGACTACAATCATACCGATAATTAAGTTAATCTATTATATTTGTTTCAGGGCAAAAAGTGCTGCTGTCGCAACCATCAATGATTAGGATTGGAGTGGACGAAGAAACATTTATTTCCATTTTATTTGATTTTAAAAGTTTTTGTAATTTCTTTACATAATTTGGTTTTAACTTGCATAGAATATAATAAATAGTTTTGTCTAAACTTTGAGTTTTTATCCACCAAAAGTTGAAAAATAGATTTATTTTTTAATGTAAAATTTATAGTTGAAATAGATAACTGAACCAGACACTTTGTGTGTCACCAAAGATTGCGGCTTTTCACTGTTTTAGTCAAATAATCGTAATGTCCAATTGTACATAAATCGAATTACAGTTTTATATCAAATTGATCATCAATTGGACTAAATATACACATCAATGTTTGTGACGTTTGTACATTCATTGAACATTAAATAGTCTCAATTTGTACAAACATGAATGTGCATATGATGTTCACTAGATGTCCATCCAATTGAATCTTAATTTAACCTAAATTGAATAACAATTTGATGTAAAATTGATCATCAATTGATCGAGATACGCACATCATATGTATATCGATGTTTGTGACGTTTGTACAATAATTGAACATTAAATAGTCGTAATTTGTACAAACATGAATGTGCATACGATGTTCAGTTGAACATTCTTGAACATCAATTTAATGTTCAATTGATGTACATGTGTTATATGGGTAGGAACATATTAAAGTGATGCAAACAAATGTTATGTAAACGGTTAAGGCAATTTACCAAATAAAAATATAGACATATGGAATATCAAAATGAAGCTTAGAGTGTGTAGATTTTCTGAAAAGTTTTGATATGGACAAACTCCCTAAGAGGTCTGCCCCACAGACTGGGGGCTACGCCTTGCATGTTTTGGAAGTTAACTTTATTTGAGTAATTACAACAGCTGGCCAATGCAATTTACAATATAGTTTGTTGGTTTATGTTCTTAAAAGAGGTGCGGTGAATAGACAGTGAAGCTATCTCTAGCCGTTTGATACAAGTGAGTGGTTAAAGGTGTTTGAAACACGATGAATATGAGATTAACAAACCATGTATGTCGTTCGTTCCAAGAGGTTGTAACCGATTTTTAACAGGTCGCCATTTCATTGACAAGTATTTAAGTAAAGTATTAAAGACGTGAAAGAGAGCGGCGAGTTCAGGTACAACCCTACCCACCTTAGGACGTAAGGTTTGAAGGCTCCAATGCTTTTTTACCATCCTTTCAGATAACAATTTCTCGAACTTGGGCCCTTTAAATGAAATATAAAGTCAAAGTTGATTAAATTAATTTAATGGTGGCTTCTGTACACCCGTGAATTTGCGGGTAGAACCTCTTATATTGTTAATAGCAGTTTTCTTAGACTTAATAATATATTTTATCTAACAAAGTAATGTACTGGTAATGTCAAATCTGACGTGAGAAGCGAAGAGAGGATGATATGTTGTGTAAGTGCCGTATCTTTTCCTGCAATTTCGTTGATCCTTTTTATTCCAAAAACTACAGTTTGAAACTATTTTATGCCAAATTTATTTTCAAAGTTAAGGTAAGTTTTTTGGATCTATTGTGACTCATACAAATTAGTTGGGGTCTATTATTGTTTTCAATTTAGGATTGTTGTTATCTTGCACTAGGCCTATATCATTATTCTGGTGGAAAGGTTGGTGAGATTTACATCCCTGGGTAAATCTTGACACCATCTTTGACCAAATGAAATTATTTTTACAGGAATATTATAGTAGCCTACCCGTTATACCTTGCCTTCGATTACTTAGGTACGTTAGGTGTAGCCTACCTATACATTATTCAAAATTCTTTATTGGGAGGATACAACTTAATAAAAAAAGCAAGACTTGTCCGCTTTAAATTACCAATAGTGCTGATTTATTAATGGCATTCTTAAAAATTAACTCCAAGACAGAAACTGGCCTAAGTTATTATAAATTGGCTTTGGAACCGTAATGAAAATGAATGCCTTTGAACCAGTCTTTAAAAGCTAAACGAAAAAGGGACCTAAATTTTTTTTATTTTTTTATTTTAACTTTATTTAATTTACAATCTGTTCAAGTTGAACAATAAGCAAATGATATAAATAGTACTGTAATACAAAAATAACTTGAAGAACATGAGCTAGTGATTGACCACCGTCAACACTAGCAAACAAAGAGAATTTTGATAACACTTAGCCGAATCTGAATGGTAGGTCCAATATCGTATGTCGCTTCAGTCTGTAAATGGTGTTGTGATTGTCCAATAAATTAAGTGCAAGATGATTTGAATGATTTTCCAATTTTATAATGTATTTTTCACTATATTTTGTAATTTCTTCTTTTACTGTTCGAATTTGAAGATCATTGTGAAGTGTTCTGTTGGTAACAAACCAAGGAGCGTTGACAATTTTACGTAATAATTTTGATTGGTAACGTTGAATAATTTCAATGTTTGAGGTACTTGCTGATCCCCAAAGCTGAATACCATAAGTCCAAATTGGTTTTAAAACTGTTTTGTACAGTAACAAACCATTTTTTGCCAAGTTAACCAATCATTTCAAGCTAAAGATTTCTATTTCAACCGGTATATTTAACATAATTGATAAATGATTGATCTTATTTCATGGAAGCCCCTGAGTCTAAGTTTGGCAATGTTTTTGTAAATAGAGTATAAGCATGGTATAGTTAATACCTTGGATAAAGAACACTCAAACTGATTAATTTTTATTTATGTTAATACAGTATGAGTATGTTTCGATAGTGAGGGATTTCGCGGTATATTCCATATACATATACACAACACACTGTCAATTTTTTTCAAGTGTCTGTCGTAACATAACCACAAACCAACCAGTCCGATTTCCGATTACCGATTACGATGACGTAAACGTAAAAACGTACGACTACGATGGGCAAATATCGATTGTAGTAGGATCTATCGATTATATCGATAGTTGGCGACTGACGACTCGAGTACTCGACCGAATCAACGATGACGTCATGGCCTGCTGTGCTCTCTAAACAGCGCTGTTCACGGAGGAAATTTGAACTAAATTTGCCTCATTTGTACCTCCCTTCAGTCAGACCCTTGAAAACAGCCGTTTTTCTGCAGTATGACCAAAATCTTGACCTAACCCAGGAGAAAAATTGTTTTACAAAAGTCTCGTCAACCAATATCACGTTCACGTAACTTAAACTTTAAACATATTAAGCTAGCCAGGGTAGGGGGCGCATTGATAAGTGCGGGTAGCCGGTCTTAAACCAGACACGGCCACCTTTAAAGGTGTTGGGGCGGCCGTGCCTCGAATCAGCAATGTTGGTCTTGTAAGTCTGAATACCGTGATCGGTGTTAGCTTTGTCGCTTTGTCTATTGATTGTTATTCCAGGCCTAGTCTTAGGGAAAATAATTGGGCATACATACACTTTTCAGTAGGTCACTGACATTAATTTTTTAATTTGGTTGGTAGCACTGATTCAAAGTAGGAAGCTTGTCCATCCAATTCCAATGAATGACGTCAGAAGGCGACATCCTTTGCTAAAATGGCGGATATAGATCTAAATATTGACAGCCTCATTCAACGACTCCTTGAAGGTAAATATTGATCTAAAATATAATTTCAAGTTTTGTATACTGATCTAAAGACATAAATTGTACTACGAAATAAACGTTTCGTAAATTCATGGACGTCCAATTGCGATATCTTCCAAGTTTGTGAGCGTCATTTCAAGGTCTACCGTACTTACGGTTGTTAATTCACTTAGCACATTAGGAATAAAAACTTCCCAGTTTGTTATCTTTACCCTAACGTTTTCATCAACTTCGAATAAATTGGCATTTTACAGACCCATTTGAAGGATTAGTAGTAGGTTATTATTCATCAAAACCTAGGCTGTACATGTGGATTTACCTCTTCATTGGCATAGGCCTAAATAAACCTTGCCATTTCCTTACTAGGATAGGCCTGTCAACAATATTTTCGGGACAACCTTGATTTCAAATGTCTACAGCAAAACCAATCTATGTATGGTAATAGTAACAACGTAATTCTCTTGTAATTTTCTTTGCATGTATGCTAGGCTTAAGTTACTGGCTTAGGTCTAGTCATTGAGTTTAGGTGTTAAATAAGTTTTAGGCTAGCTAACTAGGCTAGGCCTAGTTTCGTTCGACGATTTATATTGTAACTTATCGGTTTAGTTTACACGGGTAAGTTACAACTTTTAACCCTGAAATAAGCCTAACTTATAATTGGATTAAATGTCAATATAGGTCGATAAATATATTGATTGCAATTCGGTTTGATTTTAAGCTGAGAAGGTCTGTGTTCTAAATAGCCTAACTTAAGTTTTAAATTAGTAAGTTACCGATATTAACATTGCATTTAATTTAATTTTGCCTTAACTTACTTATGACAACTTAAGTTAGAGTAGGTACCTACTGGAATTGGATAACTTATTGATATTAGGCCTATAAATCCATCGTGGCCACCAAAGCATAATTGAGTTAAGAATAACATTTCTCTGTCTAACTTAAACGGTGGCTAAGTATGTTAAGTTTCTGGGGAGAAAATATCGTAACAAATAAGTTAGTAGCCTAACATAAGTTAACTATAAATTATGTTAGTCAGTAAAAGTAGAATAAGTAAACAAACTTTAAATAAGGGTAACTTTAGCTTAGCCAAATTTCTGTTAGGCTAATAAGTATTTGTGATCACACTGTTTTTTTTTCAGCTATGTAAAATCCAGTAACTTAGGCTATCTTAACTTAACTTTACGGTACCGGTAGGCCTATCTGGTGATATAAGATAGCCTTAGTCATCAATAGGTTCCCATGGTCACGTTATGTAGGCTAATTAATTCAAATGAACTTAAACTTACCAATAGGCCTACATTTTAAAAGTCTTAAACTTAACTTAATCAATATTCTTTATAAGCGTTAAAACGGTTTCATCTTACAGTTCCTCAGAGAACCTGTGATATATTATCGGTTAAAAATATCAGTCGTGTCTTTATTGCCGTGTGTTTTAACTAACTTACTCATGTTTTCAGAACGGCACGTTTGACCCTGCACTACCCACCCGTCCACACTACCTTAAATAACTGATTGATCGATTGTTGCCTATCTTTATTTAATTGATTGATTGAATGACCACAGCTCCCCCCCCCCCCCCAAGGCCATAGTTTAAGTTACCCCATAAACACAACTATACCAAGGATGATGGAGACTTTTAATTCACCTAAGTAGGTATCCCACTCAAATCAAATCAAATCCATTTATTGCCATCAACATTATAAATACATGTATAGCAACGTCATACAATTTCATCACAGTATATCCAATAACCTATACTTAATATGTTCTACAAATTCTTTGACCTTATACACACATAAATCACACAAAATCTTTCTAATAGTAGGCCTAAATTTAAATTGTTGTATTTCAAGACATTTAATGTGAGCAGGTGACATATTATACAATCTTTTAAAGTAAAAAGTAGTCTCTATGCTATATTCAAATCTCAGTTGCTTCTAGTGTAGGCTAATATTTCAATGTTTGTTTTATTTCAGTCAGAGGATGTCGTCCTGGCAAGTCAGTCCAGATGAGCGAGGCCGAAGTGCGCGGCCTTTGCCTTAAGTCCAGGGAAATATTCTTGCAACAACCAATCTTACTTGAGCTGGAAGCGCCCTTGAAGATCTGTGGTAAGTTTTAAAATTCAATTGCCTACAATTCAACTCGATTCCATACTTAAGTTTTTACTCAAAACTCGACTCAACGGAATTGAAAAATCACTACTCGCCCACCCCTACTGACTGTTAAAATTATCGGAATTGCAATAAAATAGTAGTGGTAAATAATGTTGGAATTCACATCAATATTAGATTAAACTCTATGTAAGTTGGTAAAAGCTTTAAAAAACTTAATCATATAGCTATTACTTTCAACACACTTTTATTTATTATTAGACAACAATGAGCATTTAAATCGTAACTGAATCTTAGCAATGAAACAGCAAGTACAAAGAGAATAAAATATATACTTAGCTGATTCAAATTATTACACTAGCTATATTATAATAATCTGACAACTTCTAACATCCTCCCTAACTTAGTTAATTAATTGAAAAGAACAAAAAAATTGCTTACTCCCTACAAGTATGGGAATTTTGCTAATATTTTGGATAATGATCCACCACTCTAAATGGTGTTATGTTATCTAGCCTAACCGAATAGTTAACTCATTAAAAAATGCTTTCGCTCAACTGTGGTTCTAATTGTAGGTGACATCCACGGGCAGTACACAGACCTTCTGCGGTTGTTTGAGTACGGAGGGTTCCCTCCCGAGGCCAACTATCTGTTCCTTGGTGACTATGTTGATCGAGGTAAACAATCCCTGGAAACCATCTGTCTGCTGCTGGCTTACAAGATTAAATATCCGGAGAACTTCTTCCTTCTGCGAGGAAATCATGAATGTGCCAGCATCAACAGGATATATGGATTTTATGATGAGTGTAAGTCTTTATTACATTTACCAATGATAAGCCTACATAGTAAAATGTTTCATCAGTACTTTTAATAGGTATTGATAAGAAATTAACAACAAGTATGTGTAGTTTCCCCTGTATTTTTACATTACAATTTGGATGGTTTGTTAATGTTAATCTTAGACATAAACATAATGTAGGCTAGGATCTTTTGTTAAGTGCGTGTCAGTAAATCCAAACCCAAATCCAAGCAATCTTGAACCACAGCTAGGCCTGTATCGTAAGATAATCCGACGATTTTGATCATGGGACACATTCAGTAATTTATGTCACTGGGCAAATTTACCCTGCTGGAATTCAGCCTAATTTGTGTTGATACAAAAGTATTAAAGTCCCAGTTTTCTATCCGGTTTCTCAGTCCTTAACGTTGTTGTAATTTTTGCGTAGAATGGGTGTGACCTTAGTTCGCCTTGCTTGGTTATTTATTAATTGAGCTTAATGGTTTATTACCTTTTTAATTTCTTAACTTACAAAATATGAGATAGATCTAATTGAATCTTCATGGTAGGCTATTATTGGTTTTAATCAATTAAAAACAAAAAAAACCACTGATATTTTACAGTACAAACTTTTTATTTTTAGTCATAAGTATGATGATAAAATAGGTTAAATATATTAAGGCTATATATAGGCCATATAAATTAAAATTGGTAAATTATTGGTGAAGTTTTCATTGTGAAACATAGGTCTCTAATTGAATTTTTAATTTAGGCTGTAGGGCCTCTATATATATATACAGCCTATATTAATAATGTCTAAACAAATTAAAGAAAACATGATAGTAGTTACAGAATTGGCATCATCCAGCTCAACAGGTTTGTAAGTGTCAGATTAGTATCGCTACCGGCAGTCAACTAAGTTAAAGTTCCAAACGTTATCTATCAACCAAGATTTCAAAATTTGTACAGTTCAAAAGTTTGTTACATTATTAATACTTTGCCTCGGTGGATCTAGGCTTTTAATTCTAAATTTGTTCTAAGAACTTAGTCTTAAATTTTTTGCAGGCAAACGAAGATACAACATCAAGCTGTGGAAAACATTCACAGACTGTTTCAACTGTCTGCCGATTGCAGCCATCATTGATGAGAAGATCTTCTGTTGTCACGGAGGTCTGAGTCCCGATCTGCAGGGAATGGAGCAGATCAGACGCATCATGAGACCCACAGACGTTCCTGATACAGGTAACCTCCGCTGTACAATCAATCGATAAACAAAACATATAATGCATTTAAACTATAAATTGAATTTAAGCTGATTTCTTAGAACTTAATTACAGTAAAACATTAGGCAGTGGTGTAAGTACATCATCCGCGGTCTTAAAGACATCATTGTCTCCCGCGGTCACGGAAACAACTTCACCTTTTTCTACAATAGTGCAAAAATCTTGAATATTTTCTTCAGTCTTTGTGGACTCATGTTTGTCTACCGCAGTCACGGAATCGGCGATATCTTTTTCTGCGATTGCGGCAAAATCATGAATATCTTCTTTGCTCTTGAAGACATCATCAACGTCCCCAGAAATTATGGAAACAACATCGCCTTTTTCCATGATAGCCATGACAGTTGGACCTCGGTGGCCCCCCACCCCTCACTGCGGGGGTTGCTGGGTGTTATTTACGCTATGCTAACTTATTAGGCCTTTTGGAAAAGTGTTGACATTTGGGAGTTAGTTTAATAATCATGTTGTTAACCACCAAGCTGATTTAACTGCAATTTTTGTTTTTGAATATAATATAATTATTGATTTTTATTTGGAAACATAAAGAAGAACAATGCTAAAATTTGCACTGACGTTCTAATGTTACCTAAGTGCATAGGGAGAATGGGGCAGATTTGAACACTTTTTAAACTTTAATTTTTTAATAGGTGAATTTATGTGATTTTAATAAAAACAAATTACATTTAGTTGTAACATAATGTTAGCTTTAATTTAGTTATTTTTTAAACCCTCCAAGTTAACATGTTAATGTGCAATATCTGTTCTTACAAAGGTATGCAAATCGTTCAAAAGTACCCCACTGGTGGGGTACTTTTGAACAGGGTACAGTAGAACCTCTTTAATCCGAACTAATTGGGACCAGGGGTAGTTCGGACTATTGAATAGTTCGGATTACAGAACATATTGTTGTTTTTACATAACAATAGCTAAAACATGGCAAAAATTGATCAAAATTATTTTGGGAAAAGTGAAAAATGTTTTATAAAGTAAAATGCAGTGTTTATTTAATACAGTAGTAAACATGGTGGATAAACAGTACTGTAGATTAAATACAGTATACAATAAAGAACTGCTGTACTGTGTATAAAGTACAGCAATGAGGGGTTCGGATTAGTGGACGTTCGGATTACGGGGGTTCGGATTAAAGAGGTTCTACTGTACCTACAATTAAGAACACACTAATTAAATTAAATGAAAATTTTAATTTTACAGAAATTGTTATGCATGTGAGTTGATAAAAACAATTCTTATTTCTATTGGAACTTATTCTTCATTTAATGTTTTAGATTCACATTATTTGTAGCTAAATGTTGCAAAGTTAATAGCAAAATTATATTCGTGCTCTGCACATGCAGTTCTCACACTCATTGTTGGTTGAGGAAGCTCATAGTATTAAATTGTTATTATATTCATTACTGTCTTGTATAAGAAACAAATATAATCAGTTGGGGTACATTTGAACAACATGCTCACCAGAGGAAAACATGGTGTTCAAATGTGTCCCTCAGACTCTGTTCAAATCTACCCCACTAGGCACCATTTTGCAAAAAGTTAAATTATGTTTTCTTGAATTGTAATTTATCAATATGAAATGCATTATTGTATCTAAATATGTATTTTAAGCCATAAGGTAAATGGATCAAACTCATCTGTAATGTAGTTTTTCTATGGAAAATTTACAAATCCCTACTGCCAAAAAAGTTTTCTTGTGGCGCTCTAAAACTTCTTTTCCCAACAACAAACTAAGAACTGATCAGAAATGGAGGGAGATGAATGCAACCTGTTGTCCTATTGGAGGGCTACATTTTACAGCTGGTCCTATGACCTGCGAGTATAAAAATGACGGAAAATTTAAACCGTTATATGTGCCCCATGTTCAAATGTGCCCCACTCTCCCCTACATCATTGGTTAGTTTTAGGACTCTGTCTGTTTTCATTAAAATGTCAGAGCAAATTTAAAGCATTGTGTCTTTTTTTTATCATTAATACAAATCAGTAATCATATTCAAATGCCAAAATTGCGACTCAATCAGTTTAGCAGATAACACGTGATTGTCTGATTAACTAACAAACTTCAACACTTTCCCAATAATATTTGTTAATTAGTAGGAATCAGCTAAATTAAAATAAGTTTAGGTCCTTAAACGCTTTTTATGTAGGCCTACAAAATTGCCAAGAACCAGGCTACCACGTCTTACACGCGGGGGAGGAGTTACGCGGGGGTTCATATGGGAGGGGTGTTGGTTATTGTTCTGACCGTTAAGGAATAATTTTAATAAGTTATTTTTCTCATTAAAACAGGAAATGTATATCTATGTTAAACTAGGCCTATAGACAGATCTGATTTAAAATATATTACTAATTTAGAGGGAATGAAGAACATAAAAATCGCAAGTTATAAGGCTGCCAAAGTGCGAACCCTCTCCCCACTCCACTCGGAGAGAGAGATGGTTAGTATGATGTCAAAATTTTGGTTGGTTTATGCGTAGGGTGGACTAGTCACGTTCCCAATACAGCTTTCCCTACTTCAATCAGAGAGAGACAGGGTGTGGCCGTGACATCAAAATGTCGGTAGGTCCTCGCGAGGACAAGCTCTCAGCTGGACATGGCCACGTTCCCTTAATAGCCTACTCTTACTTGAAATAAGATTTACTCACTACTACTATTGAAGATGGTGTTTACAAACTTTTTATCCATATGTTCCTATGAGCTCTTAAACCTAAACACTTTCTCTGTATATTATGGACCTCCTATTATTGCAGCTCCGTCCTAAAGTTAGTATTCCTTCAATTTACCTTTAATACTCAATTTTGTCTCTGTTGAGACTTCACTCCACACAGTTCATAAAAATATTGTTTTACAGGTCTGCTGTGTGATCTTCTATGGTCTGACCCGGACAAAGATGTCCACGGCTGGGGAGAGAACGACCGCGGTGTCAGCTTTACTTTTGGCGCGGACGTTGTCAGCAAGTTCCTTAACAGACATGACCTTGATCTCATCTGCCGAGCTCATCAGGTTTGTATCCATTTTATGACAACTTTTACCAATTGGCCACAAAAAAGAAGAAAGGGAACACATATTGGGAATACTCTTGTTTCAATTTAAGGTTATTGTTCAGTTTCCACAACTCACCTAAAACGTGCTGTAATCCAATGACATATGGATACTGATTCAATAACGTATGGATACTGATTCAATAACGTATATACAGGGTGGCTAAAAAGTAACTTGCACCCCCCTTAACTTTTCAACCGTTAAATATATTTGAAATCTGTTTGCGGCAACCTTCTTGGGTATGAGGGGCTACAATAATTATGGTCAATTTTGATAATTTTGCGCTTGGGGGGTAGGGGGTAGCTCAAAATTTTCAAATGACAACTATAGGGCCTAGTCGAGTTTGGTATAATTTTACAGGTCTTGACGAAACATAAAAATTGACGTGAAGAAAACCAAAATTGGCCCACTAATAACAAAATGGCGCCCTAAAACGTTTCAAATCCAAATAACCATGAGGGTGGCAAAAAAATTAACTTGCACCCTCTTTAACTTTTGAACTATTTGAGATATTTGAAATTGGTTTGCAGCAACTTGTTTGGATATGAAAGGCTACAATAATTATGGTCAGTTTTGAAAATTTTGCCCTTGGGGGTAGTGGGTAGCTAAAGATTTTCAAAGAGCAAGTATAGTCGAGTTTGGTATCATTTTAAAGGTCTTGACGAAACATAACAATTAACATAAAAAAATAGAAATCAGAGCATTAATAACAAAATGGCAGTTCAAAATAACTTTTAATGACCATTTCCTTAATCATTTTTAGCTGCCATTTTGTTATTAACATGTTCGCTACTGCAATAAAATCAGTACAGTAGAACGTCGATTATCCGAATTAATTGGGGATTGGGGGTGTTCTGATTTTTCGGATAATCGGTCATTGACTGGAAAAATACGGGGAACGGGAAATGACGGGAAGGGATAGCGGCCGGCGGTGATTTGCCGTTTTCGCGTCTGTGGATAGCCTACTGTACAATAATATAAATTTTATTAATTAACATCCAGATTTATTTTTACAATACAGCAACAAACATGTACAACAGTACTTAGAACTGGACTATCAGAATGTGTACAGAAAGAACACATTCACGTTTACGTTTGGACGACATAGTCAGTGTAGAATGAAACAGTACAATAGAAACCCATACGAACTGTCACTGTCGAATGCTCACAGGCGACTGAGACTTGAGAGAGACGGAGACTGAGTCAGTGGGAGTAGGAGTGGTGCGCACGGCCATAGCGCACGACAATTTCGTCACGTATGCCCGCCCCGCCTCCCGCCTTAGCAGCCGTGCGGTGGCGTAGCGCTACGGCCAGTCGAGATTGGCGCGCGATTTTATTGATTTTTGCTTCTTTCTTCCTTTCGGTTAACCGACGTTTCGGATGACCGGGCTTCGGATAATCGACGTTCTACTGTATCCAAATACGTTTTTGAATCAGTATCCATACGTTATTGAATCAGTATCCATGTATGTAGTTGACTGTTACATTGATACTGTTACCTTGACTATCAGTATCCATATAACTTATTGACATTATTCAAATGATTGACATTGACTATCAGTATCCATATAACTTATTGACATTATTCAAATGATTGACATTAATTATATAAGTTATTCACTGAGACATTGCTTAGCCATACAGGTTATTGCCATCCAAGTACATGTCATACACTGAGACATTGCTTAGCCATACAGGTTATTGCCATCCAAGTACATGTCGTACACTGAGACATTGCTTAGCCATACAGGTTATTGCCATCCAAGTACATGTCATACACTGAGACATTGCTTCGCCATACAGGTTATTGCCATTCAAGTACATGTCATACACTGAGACATTGCTTAGCCATACAGGTTATTGCCATCCAAGTACATGTCATACACTGAGACATTGCTTAGCCATACAGGTTATTGCCATCCAAGTACATGTCATACACTGAGACATTGCTTAGCCATACAGGTTATTGCCATCCAAGTACATGTCATACACTGAGACACTGCTTCGCCATACAGGTTATTGCCATCCAAGTACATGGCATACACTGAGACATTGCTTCGCCATACAGGTTATTGCCATACAAGAAGTTATTTAGCCTATACCTTGTAGTTCTGATTCTAACCTCTTGTTTTATCAATGTAAACCAATTGAAAGATTCAGTATTTAAATCTTACAAAGGTTTTTATTTGTTTACATCCAAACATATCTTTATTTATAAAATCAATAAAATAAAATAGGTAACATGCTTAACAACATGATGCTGCAAGTAAAAATTATGAAATAGGCAAGAAGCTCACTGATATTTCCAGAAATACTGGTTCTTCTAATGTATGATTGAAAACAAATATTTCACTCCACTGACAAGTATGAATAGAAAAATTCCATGTTGCTTCGAATCAAGTTACATCAAAATTTTTTTAAATCAAAATGTTTTGCTGTTTCACACACCCCTACATTTGATACGGGATTTTCTCGGCATGTGATTTGTTTTGATCGTCAGTGATTTCGCTGCGTCGCAAGTGACAACATATGTTGACAAAGGTACCGTGACCGTGAGACGGAAAAAGGTATAGTAACATGAAGAATGGACCGAGTTTTTGGTCGGGATTTAAAAAAAAATGGCAATGAAAAGTCGGGAATTCCATTTGAGAAATCTGGTAGACACCCTGAAGACCGATGCTAGTTTTTAACAGTCCTCGGATTGGTTTCCTCAAATTAAAAGTTCAGGAACTTGTTATTATTTAGTAACGTTTACCTTTTTCTATTTGATAAACTTTTAAATTTATTAACAATTAAAATCCAATGATTCTTGATTTAACTGGCAACTTTCGAATTTAAAAGTGAGCCCTTTGACAGATCTGATAAAAAATAAATTTAAAGTCTTGATTATAGTTTGTACAGTATGCCCTTCCTAAGCAGCTTTAAATTTCTTGGAATTTTGCAAACTTAATATAAGGAAAGTTGTATCATTGTTCGATGACACCTTAGCAACATTTGCATACCTTGAAATCATACACACTTTAAAATAGCCCTGGATAAAAAGGGGAATTTAGTTATCAGAGGCCTGGTGTAATTCAATTTGTCTTTTCCAGGTTGTTGAAGATGGGTATGAATTCTTCGCAAAAAGACAGCTGGTTACATTATTTTCTGCTCCAAACTACTGCGGTGAATTTGACAATGCAGGCGGCATGATGTCTGTGGACGAAACCCTTATGTGTTCCTTTCAGGTATTACTCAAATTAAAAATGGGCCTAGGCTATATTTTGTAATTAAGAAGTATTCTGTTATTAATGTTGTTGAAGGTAAAAAAATGTTAGCTTCGTTTAGTTATTCCACAAAAAAAGTTTATAGTAGGATATCTCATGCTCAAAATTCAGTGAAAAAGTATGTACTGAATTTATAGAACCTTCTTTGATAATTGTTAGTGGATCATAAATTTTGTGGGTGGTCTGTAAATTAAGAACAAAATTAAGGATTGTTGACGTCCCCTTTTACCAATTCCTGTAATAAAGGTCCTCGGGCTTTGCCCCACAGGCCATCAAAATCCCAATGTATTTCTTATGAAGAAAAGATGTTGTTTACTTAAACAGACGAATAATTTGTATTAATTGCATACAAAAAACTGTTCATAGTGAACACATGATACACACAAAAGTGTGTGTTTTTAGTTTAGTTTCGATAACTGGAGTGGAGTGATTGATTACATTATCTTTGAGTTGACTCTTTTAAGTCATCGGAAATTATGACTGTCATTCGTTTTAAAATAACGCCTGTAATACTTTGAAATTGCTCGAATTCGAGCTACAGGTGCTCTAGTCTTGTCATATTAGCCAAAAACGATATTTGAGGACAAACTGAAACTCCTGCTAATTTTGAATCACGTTCTGTGAGTAGTTTCCTGTTGAATGGCGGTCGATCCTTGTTGAAATCTGTAATACTAAATGGTATCTATGTACGCAAAAAATGTTTAATGTTTAGAAAATGTGCAAAGTGGCCAAAGGAGTTTGCAGCAGGTCTGTTTGCACAAGGAGATTGGCAGCAAATTTTCATTAATAACCATCAAGACAGTGATTTAAGTGGAGGAAACTTTGCTTGCTGATCCAGCTACCAGGGTTTACTATTGTCCTTTGATACTCTTGTAGAAGACCTCAATATCTCTTTCATTCACACAGAATCACATGTACAATTCCCTTAAATTCCATCACTGCTTGAAACAAAACTGATGAACAACTGCCGCCAGCCTGTACCATGAATTACATTGTGAACATTGTGTGAATGTTTTATTCCAGGGTGTATACCAACCGGGAGAACCGGGAAATAACCTCGAATTTGAAGGTACCTGGAAAAAACCGGGAAATAGCCGGGATTTTTATTTTAGCCCCGGTAGAAGATTTTAGTCGTAAAATGCGTCTTGCCGCGGTTGCGGGCGACAACGATGACGTTTTCGTGACCACGGGAGACGACGATGACGTTTCCGTGACCGCAGGATACGACAATGACATCTACACGTCCGCGGGAAATGTTCATGATTTGCAGCGATTGCGGACGACAACGATGACGTTTCCGTGACCGCGGGAGATGACGAAGACGTTTCCGTGACCACTGGGGACGACGATCATGTTTACATGGCTGCGGTAAATTTTCATGATTTGCCGTGACCGCGAAAAATGACGATGATGATTTCTACACGGCCGCGTGAAATGCTTATGATTTTGCCGCCATTGCGGCCGACGACGATGACGTTTCCGTGACCGCGGGAGACAACGATGATGTTTACGTGACCGCGGGATCAACGATGATGTATACACTGCCGCGGGCCGTGATCGACCGCGGGAGACAACGATGATTATGTCAACACGGCCGCAGATGCTTATGATTTGGCTGAGATCGCGGACGACAGCGCTGACGTTTCCACAACTCATAACAGCTGCCACAGCTTTCATTGAATCCATCGTTGATAGCTTAGAGAGTAAATCTAAAGTGGTAGGGTTGTTCATGGACCTCAGTAAAGCTTTTGATTCAATTTCTCATGAGTTGTTGCTTTCAAAGCTCAGTAGTAGTGGACTAAATAGTACTGCTTTGAACTGGTTCAAGTCATATCTTTTTGATAGGAAACAATACGTAGAACTGAGTCACTGTAATAACAAAAATTATAAAATTTCTTACATAGACATAGACTTTATTTGCACAAAACATTCCATACATGTCATAACATTTAGAATAGGTGCATTGTCAAAATTAAATCCATACATAAAATATTTAACATTAAAACTTTTAACTTAAAATTAAACACTTAAAAAAAATTTCTAAATTGTAGTTCTGTAAAAATCTTCAATTAAGTAAAAAGCCTTGTCAATAAGAAAATTATCTATTGTATCTTTAAATTTGGTTTTGCTTAATGACTTATAGCATGGAGGAAGCACATTGTACAATCTCAGCCCAGCGTACAATGGAGATTTTTCATATAGGGTCAAACGGTGTCTGGGGAGTCTAAATATATTTTCATTTCGGGTTTCATACCTGTGATTAAAATGTATTGTTTCTGGTAGCTCATTTTTAACTGAATGTATGTAATTTAATAATTCTAGAATATACAACCCCGTTAATGTATGAATTCTTAAATTTTGAAAATGTTTCTTACAAGAACTGCGTGGATGAGAGTTGGTAATAATACGAATAATACGTTTTTGTAACCTGAATAAAGTTTTAATACCAGTAGCTTGACCCCATAAAATTATGCCATATCTTAACACTGACTCCACATAAGCATGATAAACTACTTTAAGTGTCTCAATAGAAACACAGTCCCTTAAATGTATGAATAAAGATGATATCGACCTAATTTTGTTACGTAAATAATTCAAATGTGAATCCCATTTAACTGCGTCATCTACGTAAACCCCTAAGAATTTATGAGCTTCAACTAAATTAAAAGAACAGTTTTCCATATTTTTGTGTCTAGTCGAAAATTTAATAATATTTGTTTTTTCAACATTAAGTTTTAACCCATTTTCTAAAAACCATTGCTCCATGTCCTTTACCACACTTTGCAGAGAAGAAAACATTTCAGCTGTATTATTATTTTTGATCAAAGCAGTAGTGTCATCGGCAAAAAGAATTAGTTCTTTATTAATAGCTTTTGGAAGATCATTAATGTAAATAAGAAAAAAAAGTGGGCCCAATACTGAGCCTTGGGGAACACCTGTGGATATAATTTCCCATGGTGAATAATGTTTGTTGTTATCTTCTAAAATTAAAGTTCTTTGTTTTCTTTTAGAAAGGTAAGATTGTATTAAAGAAAAGCAACTTCCCCCAATCCCATAATAAATTAAGTTTTAGCAACAGGAGTGAGTGATCCACACAATCAAAAGCCTTAGACAGGTCACAGAAAACACCTGCTGTGGCCTGAGACCTGTCCAAGGCCTCTGCAATCTCATTAACAAACTGAGTAAGAGCAGAAACTGTGCTTAAGTTTTTTCGGAAACCAAATTGTTTATTGTAAAATAAATTATTACTTTCAAAATAATTTACTAGTCTATAGCTTATTACTTTTTCAAATATTTTAGAAAAATTACTTAATACTGATACTGGACGGTAGTTATTAATATCTGCTTTTGAACCTTTCTTAAAAACGGGAGAAATTTGGGAATACTTGAGTTGATCCGGAAAAATACCATTCTTTAAACACTGATTTATAATAAGAGATAAGGGTTCGGAGATAATGTCAGCAGCAGATTTGATCAATTTAATTGGGATTTCGTCCCAGCCTACTGAAATTTTGTTCTTTAAAGAAAGGATGATCTTTTTTATTTCATCTTTATTAGTGGGGCTAAGATTGCACAATGTAACCCCACCATCACTGCAGTATGATTTTACAGACGAATGAACACCATTGACAGAAGCCTTTTTTACATTCAGATTAATAACTGTATTACAGAAAAAACTGTTAAAAAGCTTAGCTACATCATCAGGATTATCAACAGTGGTTTGGTTTGTATCATCTTTTAAAACAATTTTGTATCTTTGAGTACGGTTTAAACCCAGTTCATTGTTAACAATTTGCCAAGCTGCCTTAGACTTGTTTTCAGATTTTCTAATTAGGTTATTATTTGAGAGAATTTTTGAATTTTTTACAACTTTATTAAATATTTTTTTGTATTGCTTTACATAGGATAAAAACTCTTGGTTTCTACTAAACTTGGCTTCCAAGTGCAATTCTCTTTTCCTCTTACTGGAAATTCTTATACCTTGGGTCACCCAATTCAGAGTAGATTTATTAGTTTTAGCATTCTTTTTTAGTGATTTAACAGGAAATATATGATTGAAAGATAATAAAAAATTTCTCAAAAAACTATTGTAATTTTCATTGGGGTTTAAAGCGGGGTTAAATACAAAATTATTATTAGTGCTCTGTAGATATTTGCAAAATTCATCTGTATTTCTATCAGAGATGATTCTTTTCTTAAAAGAACTAGAAGTATTCTTGATGGTTTTACACTTGGCTAGCTTAGGGAGATTTATAAATATAGCATTGTGATCAGAAAGACCTAACTCAGTGTTTAACCTGTAATGGCAACTAAATGTTTTGGGTGTGATAAAATTATCCAAACAAGTAAATGAAGTATTTGTTATTCTAGTTGGCTCCTCAAATTGAAAACAAAAACCATTACATTCGACAATTTCTTTAAATCTACTTGTGAATGTGTCATTCGTTAAAATGTCTATGTTAAAATCTCCAGTTACAAAAACCAGTAACCGAACTACCAGTAACAGAATTTTTTCTGTATTATCAAAAATAAAATTTCAAGTCTATCTAAAAACTGTTTACTTATGTTGAAATTTGGTACTGTATAAATAGAAATTAAAATTGAATTAAAATCCACAAGTTCAATAGCAGAACATTCAAAAATAAAGTCTTCATTTAAATTGGAAAACTGTGTTATTGTCACATATTTACAGTTCAATTCTTGTACTCGGAAAGTAAAATATGGGTTGCCCCAAGGATTGATCCTAGGCCCTCTTTTATTCATCTTTTATTTGAGAAATTTTCCTCAACTCAGTGATTTTAGCAAGCTTTGCCTATATGCTGATGATGCAAATTTAAAAATAGCCGCAGGAACCTATGCTGAACTTGAAACCAAGGCCAATTCTGATATATTATTACTTAACAGTTTTTTGAATTCGAATAATTTGCGTTTGAACACAGATAAAACTAATTTTATGTGTT